CGCCTGTCTCCTCAAAGTTGTTATAAGCCCTGGGGCTTGTTGGAGTGTGTTGGCTGACAGGGCTAAATGGGACGGGAGGCGTGGAGGTGTGTGAATCAGCCTCAGCGGTGAGGGTATTGACAGATATTGGGGTTACAGAACGGTGATGTGGATGCTGATACAGCACCTCAAGGTTTTCAGGTCACACAGCTGCCAACGGAAACAAGGACATGGGCTCTGATCGACTGCATCATGGCTAGTTTGGCTACAATGTATTCAGCACATTTTCTGCAGCACTGATGCCAAAACACAACAGTCATCAAGATGCAAATTCAGGTCAGTCAGTCAGGCAGGCAGGCAGTGGTAAGATCCTTCACTCCTCTCTGTCTGAGGGGCTGTCAAACATCATCAGAGTCAAGCATCGAAACAAATATTTGTTTAAAAAATGGTTTGGGGTGCAGTACGAAAATAAAAACTCCCTGTGAATAAAAAAACATAACTTCACCCAAAAACATCTGAATAATTGGAAAATAATATATAAAATGTCAGACTGCAAAAATACATTTGGTTTTGCACCAGAGCTTGTTTCTGTGTCCAACTCCTGAAAACATCCATTAAACATTTCCCTTGAGTGTATTTATGCAAATATGTGGCTCGGTTATTCCCTCCTGTATTGCTCTCTACTTCTTTAGGAGAGGCCATTATTGCATGTTTATGTCAGTGGTTAATACCTACAACCCCATATTATCATATTATATCTAAGGAAAAGTCTGTCAAAGTGTGCAGAAAGAGCTAAAGTCCATGATTCTTACCCACTTGATATCAGTGTGTGAGGGGGGCATGGAGAAACTCACCGAAGCACTTGCTCTGGTTGGTGGCCCGGTCCATGAAGACCTTGGAGGAGATGACGGAGCCGAAAGGCATAAACATCTGCATGAGTTCATTGTCTCCAAACTCCTGTGGCAGGTGGTAGATGAACAGGTTGCAGCCCTCCGGACCTGAGCAGAGAGAGAGAGAGAGAGAGAGAGAGAGAGAGAGAGAGAGATTACAGAGACCAAAGGCAACATGTAACATCATTATTATTATTATTATTTTGGTTGATAAATTATTTGCAATTTAATGGGTGAGGAACAGAGAGTGACTGCTGTGAATTTGTCTTTTTGATCTATGCTGTCTCTCGTGTCGACTAAATTAAGATAAGTGGAAATAGATTGTCACGACGTCTGTGACATTATCAGCGATAAAACATAGCTGTTCCTAAACACATAAAAATAATTTGAAAAGTTTTTGCATTGATTTGCTGATACTGAATGGATGGGAATTTATTTAACATTTCTATTTATGTTGTACAAACTTTTCTGATTAAATATAAATACAGACTAAATCAAGATAACAAATTACATGTTTCCACTGGCAACTATCTGCAGTGGGATGAATGTGCCGCCAAAGAAATACCATCTGATCAATCAAATATTTTTTTTAAAGTAAATTATCATGTAAACAATGTGTTGAACTGATGGTTTCAATCATACTTTCACACCTTCTGTCTTAAAATGTATTTCAAATTTTGAAAACACACAGACATATGAAATACTAAAATGACTATTACTAATTCAATGCAGATTACACAAGGTCAATGCAACATGAATACATTATTAATGTGAAGACCTGCAGTAGGTGTGAGTGGAAACCATCACATTGTGTGGCGAGTTCCTTTATCTTCAAGCAAATCTACATTAATTACATTTTTCCATCTTGCTTGCAGATTTTTATCATATAAGCTTTAATTATTACTTATAAAAGAAGCGTGGGCCTAAGTCGATCATATGTAACCTATTTTAAGACATATTGCACATTATAGTGGGATTAACTTTGTTCTTTAATCTCATCATTTTTGCATGTATTTGATATGAGCTGCAATCACTTTCACTGTTCTCTCAGCTGTCCAACTATATTAATCCATTAAAAAGAATGAGAGGTGATCAGTGTTAAAGTCATATTCTTCTCTCACCCTCAGTCTTTATGTGTGTGTTACACTGAATGAGGTGTGTACATTTCTAAAGTAATATTGGTTTCTCATTCTCATCTTCTTTCTATGTCTATTACACGGGATGAGATGTGTGAAGTGTAAAAAAAGAAATAATGTTCTCTCACCCTCACCTTCTCTCTGCTGCTGCTGCTGCTGCTGCTGGATGACCTGGGCTTGATGGGGCAGTGTCTGGCCAATGGGAGTCAGCGTGGTGGTGGGGTAGATTGCTGCAGAGAGAGAGGAGGGAGAGGAAAGAGTACAAAAGAAAGAGAGAACGATGTCAAAGATGCTTAAGGTCGATCACACAAGCATAACATGTGTAATCAAAGGCTCTGTCATGTCGCTGTCCTACACTGTGAGAATACATATAGCCTTATTCATACAGTACTCAGCCTGCAGTAATCGTCCCGTAGCTGCTACACATTTAGCATTTATGACAGCACAGTAAACAAAGCTGTCTCACACCTGTGTATTGCTGTACTCCAGTGAATGCTTGCTGGAGGGTGTCAGCAGCGGAGGGGCTCTGGGTGGAGTATGGCGGCAGGCCGTTGGTGTACATAGCCTCCACAGCGGGGTGTCCGTTGGGCTGATGGGGGATCCCGGTGAACCCGTTGACGAGGGGCGAGACAAGGCTGGGCACGGAGGTGGTGATGTTGGCTGGTGGAGAGCTGAGGCCTGCGGGGGGGAAAGGTTTACAGTTAGAGGCTCTGTCTATATAGCTCTACAATGATACTACAGAACAGTTATAAGGTATTAAGACGTAGGTACAGTAAACAAAACATTGACTTTAAATAAATGTATTATGTCAACAGATGTCACATAACTGTATTAGGTTTAGCAATAATATTAAAGGTCTCCTATTATACTGTTTTTCATAAATATATATTATATGTCTCAGATATATACAAACATGTCTCTGAAGTGTTCGGCTCCAAAGACCAAACATATCCTGCATTGCAGCATTACCCATAATCCCCTCTCCCCTGTTTCAAAAGTGCTGATTCTCTGTCTGTTACTTTAGATGAAAATAAGGAGCCCCTCCCCACGCCCCTCTGAGAGATATTTGGTTAAAAAGAACGCAATGGTGCTCTAGGAGGAGATTCCGGTAATAGGGGGGGGGGGGGGGGTTACCTTGGTTGGTGATTGGCTAATGGTTACACAAGCCAAAAGAAATTCGTTATGACATCATAAAGTGGCCAAAATTGGATCAGCTCATTTTCAGACAGGTTTTTATATAAATGGATCAGGACAAAAAGAGAGAGAATCTTTTTTCCTGAAACGTTCAGAATCTCTTTACACAGAGGGGACACATGGTGATGGAAAAGTGGATTTTGCATAATAGGTGACCTTTAAGACGTCGTTACAGTAAAACAAATATTGCCTTTCAATACGTGTATTATGTCAACAGATGTCACATAACTGTATTAGGTTTAGCAATAATATTAAGTTATGTGAAATCTGCTTACACAATACATTTAATTTAAGTCAACATTTCAGTTTTTTCAGTGTAAGTCTACACATAGACATGCTTTCCTATTGCATAGAGATAGTAAACACACCCCAGGACCAGCAGATATATATTCACACACACACACTCACAAAAACACACAAAGCACTACATCTCCTCTCTAATGCAAGGACACGGATCTGTCGCAAGTGTGACACATATCAGCCATTTGTCGTGACACCTCCTGCAGGAGAGCTGGGAAGTCAACCTATGAAAAATGAGCCTGCCCGAAGTGTTTGTACGATACCCTGCTGGCTCCTATGCTCAGGATGATGAAACCACGATGCAACTTCTGGAGTAAAAAAAAGGAAAAGGGATCTGGACTGACTAGAAGGAGATTACAGAGGGAGATGATTTGCTTGAATGAGCAGGTGGCAAAAACACAAAGATGTCTCCTACTTTTGCTCATCATAAAACAAGACAAAATAACAACAGTTGGCAGTTTGACAAATGGGCGGGTCATAACATATATGGTACACGCCTGAAAGGCAGCTGCAGGATGGTTCATGAGCGGAATTGAAATTGGATGCTCCCTGTCCTCTCGCTTTCAATGAATTTTAAAAGGAGAGGGTCCTTTGGAAAGTGTTTCCAATTATGCCAGGAACATCAAAGTACCCATTTTGAGCAGAATCTCACTGTGTGATGGTCTCTCTAAAAGGGCTGCTCCGTGGCAAAGCATCCAAGCTGGTTGAAGTACAGCTCCCCTGAGGACCACCTCTCAATCTGGAAACCCTAGTCCTGATTGGACAGAAAGCCCAGGTTGTCACGGAAACCCTCCAGCAGGCCATATCACCTCAATCTGGAGCCAGAGTGAAGAACCCCCTTTGAGAGGTGGTCCACATAGGGTAAACAATCACATCCCGTATACACATACATAGTGATTTATGCTAATGCTACGGTAAATATGCTGTACATCACACGCTGTAACGTCCCACCACTCAGTAATATAATCTACATATCCATACATAATTGCTTTTCTTCTTCTCTACCTACTATCTTTCTCTCCTTCTCCCCCTCCTCTCCTTGCCTCAGCATTTAAGTCATGAAGAGTCTAACAGTCAGGCAAGCAACTGCAGTGACCGGGGGAATTGCCCGGGTCCAGTGAGAGCTGTTGTGTCTTTGGCACTGGTTTTCCTTTTTCTTTTTTTTTAAGCCTCCCCACGATTGCTTGTTTCCTGCGGAGCTGTGATGAATTAGACTGCAGCTTCAGCCCATTCTCCTACCGGGGCCCAGGAGACTGCTGCTCCTATTCTGAGGGCGAGAGACAGCTAGTCTGCTCGGGCCACACGCACTTTACTGTACCGCCAGATAATGCACCCTCTCCATCATCAGGCAAATTCATTTTCCAAGGCTTAGCGGTGCTGTGGGAGCGCGCTTCTATGTATGTGTAGCAGTTGTAGGGATATACGCAGTAGCAGTGGTAGTAGTGGGTGGTAGAGTGGATCCCTTCCATGCAATTACATAAGTTCTAAGGGTCAGCAGTTGGACATGACATCTGCGGTAAAGTAGGCCACATGATAAAAGTAACAGATTGAGGCCACCGAGTCCAGACAGGTTATCAGGCTGGAAATGTCACAGCAGGGAATAAGCATAAAAATCATAACTGCAATAAAAACAACATTGATATTGCAGAGAGGCAAAGCTCTAAAACATTTATCCACAAAAACTACCGGAATAGTCACAAATACTACAGTGGCTGGGATATACATGTATTGGATCACAAAATGGGTTTGTGGTATAAGAAAAAGACAATAAGCAACACCACGGCCAATAAAACAATGATTACAGGAGAAAGCCATTTATGTAGCCTAGTCATCATCTTTATCCTCACTGTCAAAACGACCCAATATCCAACATGAGCCGGCCACGAGGATGTTCTCCTCAGTTGAAATGGGGACGTATTTCCTACTATCCTGAACTAGAAAATAACAAGACATTTTCATTTTATACCTCAGTGGACACGTAGTTCTTGCATTGTGGGAAATGGTATTCATAGCCTGTTTACAATGCACACGCAAGAGTGCGGATGTCAGTGTGTTTTGGCCTATAATAATGACATGTTGTTTCCCCACTGACATACCGTGAATTACATATTCTATACAGCTAGCTCTTAACTATCACTTCCTCACTCTTATTACTGCAGGAAAGAGGTCTGCAATGCAAAACACTATGTGTGTCAAATATATAAATGTTATGGAAGCAGAATTACATTTATATTCGTGCAGGCTGCTTCATAGAGAGGGGGAAACTGTTGATTTGCTCCTTGCCACGATTGCTTCACGAGAGAAGTCTTCAAATGCGACAGAAGCATTTATTATGCAAATGATACATTCAAATCAACGAGCAATGCTATAGCCATACTGGAGAGTGCAGTCATTACAGGCACAAGGACTGTCTTTTGCTGGAGCAAGTAATAAGCATTCAAAACAGATGCTTTCAACTAGCTGATTCAAAATGTGATGCATTTAGAATAATTGCTGTCTGAATAATATATCTGAATATGAAAAAGGGCATCTCGGTTGGTATACCAAGAAAACGATGTGACTTTGAATACTATACCTTATATTTCTGAAGCAAATGAGATGTGAATGTACCTGCTGTTTTGTGTTAGATAATGAAAGATTGTAACCTATAATTTCCTCCTCAACTGATTGAAAAATGTAAAGAGTCTTTCCACTTAAAGCCCTGAATCTATTTTCTCAAAGAGTAAGAAAAATAAAATGTTCTGTTTGGTTGGTTGGTATTTACCGTGAGAGATCTGTATTCAGTTGGTGGGCTGCCAAGCAACTGTCAATCACCCACACCCACACAGTCCTGATGACGCAGATCAGATGATTAATGTTTTACTTTGATGTCTGCTTATTTCGTTATGCGACGTAGATGAGAGATATTACAGATTTAGTTTAAGGCTTCATACTTTACGTTTTTATGAAACAATGTTAAACAAACGTGCAGTCCATCTGTACTCTAGAGTTTGAGATCCGAATATAAAGGACTTCAGCTTGGCTAGAGTAGGATTAGTACCTTTATTCGTGTATTCAATCTTCCTTCTGTTTCACATCTCCTTTCTCCACTAATGACCTTGTGAGTGTTAGTGAGAATGTGCTTGTATGCTCATGACGTCACTCTGATTAGCAACTTAACGTGTTTGGCTGCAGGCTGGAGTGGAAGCTAGCCTCAGCAAATGAATCAATAAATAGCTGGAGAAGCAAAAAACTATCTTTAAATCATCAAAACACAAAGTTCATGATGTTCTTTGATGATGAGCTTACAGACGAACTCTTTCTGGGTGTCACCATTAATAGCAAATTGTGATGTTCCGAACACCAAAATATCCTCTTCATCTGGACAGACAGAAGATGGGAGCTTTGAGGAGATTTGTAATTCAATTGAACATAAAGAACATTGAACTCAATTTCATAGAATAGAATAAACCCTTGAGAAATATTGGTGGCCACAATCCATTTTCCCTGCTTTAAAAGTCTCGTACAAGATGCAAACCAACCACTAGCAGGCAGCACTTGCCTATACGGCAAAAGTCACTTTTTACCCTGAGCCTGTGACCTAAGATTTTCATTGTCGCTGTCACTACCCGATCTGCAGCTCTGCCCGATCTGCAGTGCGCATGACATGTGCGAGATGGTCCGCCATATTGGACAACTCCGGATGGCAACCCAAGTAGGACACTTGACACAGTGGCTTTTGGCAAAGCTCAAAAATAAAACTCGAGAGAGATGAGTTATTGTTATTACAACGTGACTTCACTATTATTTAACAACTCTTTTTATTGGGTTCTTTTATTTGGGGTTAAGTACATTGTCAGAATAAGTGAGAAATGTATTTAACTTCTGTTAGACAGCTATCATACTGAATAAATAATTATTTACTGTGAATGTATGCGAAAATGTATGGCATATACAGTAGCTGTCTAACAGAAGTTAAATCCATGTCTCACTTATTCTGACAATGTACTTAACCCCAAATAAAAGAACCCAATAAAAAGAGTTGTTAAATAATAGTGAAGTCACGTTGTAATAACAATAACTCATCTCTCTCTCTCTCTTTATTTTTCAGCTTTGCCAAAAAATCTCTGTGTCAAGTGTCCTACTTGGGTTGCCGTCCGGAGTTGTCCAATATGGCGGACCATCTCGAACATGCGCACTGCAGATCGGGCAGAGCTGCAGATCGGGTAGTGACAGTCATACCTACACTGTAGCTATGTACAAATGACAATAAAAGCCTTGAATCTTGAATCACCAAGTCAAAAAGTCCCCCTGAGTAAAGTCTTAGACAAATAAAAGCCACTGGTCTCCATCAAACCCCAAAAAATATATTTAAATAACCGGGTATCTTCATAATAAATACAGAGATTTCTTTATTTGTCTAGATATACATATTGAACCTTAATATATGAAAATGTGTATTCTTCATCTTACAGGTAGGTAAGGATGGAGAAACCAGCTCGAGTGCGCTAGGCTAAAATCTGCCCCTTCCTTCAGACTTCCTTACAGAGCCCCTCCTCCAACACAAACAAACGCGCACATGACCAATCAGGACACGAGATAAGTTTGTGCACAGATGGAAGGCTGACAGGCAGGTAGGCCATCCAGTTATTTTAGCCGGGCCGGCTAAAATGATTGGTCGTGCTTTTTACAGCGCCACGGCTTCCACAGATGACATTTTTGTATGTATTTATTGTCAAAGCATTTAATGTATTCATTGCTGTCGGGATGTTAAGAGCATTTCATGGAATATATAACAAAAAGTGTTTCTGAAGTGAATTACCTACCCCACCTTTAAATATCAAATTTACCCCAGGGCAATATAATAAATACAATTCCCACACAAGTGCAGTCTCTAGTGCTTGTGAAGCTCGGTGATTGTTGCTTACACACACATCTGATTTTGTCTGGCCAAGAACTGTGGCAGTGCTCTCTAAAAATACCCGCACACACCAGCAGAGAGAAGGGATTTTGCTTTCACAGAACTGTTCACTTGTGCTCCTGGGATGTGTTATATTTCTGATGCAATACGCCTGATTCAAACTGAAAGAGGGTACCTTTGGATTAGAGGGACAAAGGCCCTTTGAGCAAGTACACGTCTCTACGTTGATATCTTTGCCCTTACAGATGCAATGATTGTAAAGGTATTCTTGGAAAGAGTATTCAGTATTCACAAGAGCTAATACAGTGAATGCAGTAAAGATGAAAGGGAGCTGGAAGCTGAAGGTCGCAATTAAGACACAGGGGTCATCTGGAATTGAACTTATTATTCCAAATAGCCACGATGCGATACCTCTGTGTGTCTCATTCGTTCTCATTAGCTTAGAGAAACCATTATGAAGAGTTTTTTATTTTCTTTATACACACATTGTGGCTGGTTAACTTTAACCTTATGGCGATCATTTAAATTAAACATGAAATATACACTGTATGTTGAATATGTACGATGCGTCGCTGAAGACAGGTGCACACAGTCGAAAGACCACTTTGTCAGCTCATTAGTTTCATGTTTTCTGTCAGCATGGAAGTGTTTTGCATCAACGGTGTAACCATGCTCAAATCCAGCAGGGATGTTGTGGCACCTCCGGTCTGTCTGTGGAGCCTCTGCAGTATATCGTGTGTGATATGTGGCTGTGCATCCCATGCAACAGAACATTAGAGTGACTTAGATGACACACTCTCATCCTAACAAAGCGTCCTTGACACGACGTGTTCTTCACACACCCGGCAGGATCCGCTCTCTCCATTCCTCCCTTTCTCTCCACCTCTTTATCTCCCTGCCTTTCTATTCCTGTTGCCTCTCTCTCCCTTTCTTTGTTTAACTTGTATTTCTTCTGCAGAGCTCAGGGAGCGGCACCTGGTGAACATTATTTTCAAAAAGCATCATCATGCATCATTGTAAGGATACATGCTCTAATCAGCTGAGCCATCTGGCAAACGGCTTATGCACCATCGAGCTTAAATGCGTTGCATCTGTTGATCAAATGGATGTCTCATTGTTTTCAGAGTAACACCCTTAACCTCTGAGTCTCTTTGTACTCCGCTTGCTGTCACAAACAAGATTGTTTATGTGGCAAGAGGTTATACTGATCATTTAAATACAAGATTAATGTCACACATTTAACAGATGATCAGGCAGGGTTTTTCATCTGTTAAGCTTCTATTGGAGCTTTGTGTTAATGCAGAGCCGTGTAGGTAATTACCATAAAGGTGGTAGTCTATCTGTCAATGACTTTACCTTTCTACCGTTTATGCTTTTAAACAGTTGACACACTTTCCAAACTCAAAATTTAAAGATTTGTTTTGAGCTCTAATCTAGTTGATGAGACAACTTAATGTATAAATTACAGCTCTGTCGAAGCAGACAGGCATCGGCTACCAGACCTTCAAAACAGATTCTGATATAACAATGAATTATTCCTCTGACTCGGGGCAGACATTCTTCTGTCTCTCACCAGTGTGAGACTATGGCCTACTTATACAGTCAGCCTTGCCAGTAATGTTATGTATTCTTTCATTGAACTCTAAATAAGTCATAGCCACAAGTGTGAAAATGGAGAGAGACAATGGCTGTGTAAACCAAAGCAGCGAGCTACACTAGCAATCCTGCAGCTGCTGGCAGCCACACTCAAATTAATGAATGGAGAAAGTAGAAATAAAACATTTCATATTTATGATGGTCCTTGAGAATTCACGAAAGCCATGCTTCTCTCAAGGATTAATAATATATTACCTTCAATAATAAAAGGTAATCAGCCAACTGTAGCTTACACAGTAGCACGTCCAAAAGCAGACACATGGCACCACTTCACACAGCAGATTCATAGACTTAGAGGCATTCACTTCTCTAACAAACAATACATTTTATTGGCTTTTTTTTCTTTTCCAGAATACAGCATTTCCTGAAATGTTCCTTCTTATTAGATTCAAGAGAATATCCCACAAATTCAGCAATATTTTCTTTACAGCAATGCACTGATTTTGTCTTTCGAGAGGCTACAAAAGAGACACAAAACAGCACAAAGCAATTAGACTGGCGGACAAAGGCTCCCACACACACACACACACACACACACACACACACACACACACACACACACACACACACACACACACACACACACACACACACACACACACACACACACACACACACACACACACACACACACACACAGAGAGAGACAGAGTTCCTTGCAATAGAGTTGCACAATCTTTCATCAGCACTATTGTGTTGCAAAATATAGGTATGCATGCAGAACACAAAGATCTGAATTGTCATACTGTCAGTGCTTTGCCCATCAAAAAAGAGGCTTCCCGGCAAGACTGAGCTCCACTTTTAATCACTGTCTCTGATTGATTATCCCCGCACAAAAGTGCACGCTTTGCACTGAAAACATCACTGTGAATATTTGACAAATGGATCCCCTCTCTAGATATATTGCTCAAAGTAGAAAATGATTGTGGATGTACTGTACACACACAGCATGTTCCAACAATTCACTTTATGCACATGGGTTCATTTGGCATGAATGATTTAAGGTTAATAGGTGTCCTGTAGCCTTTCCACTCCTGGTCTGCTGTCTGTCCTGGTTATTGGAATTCAACTGACTGTTGTGAAGTAAGTTAAGCACAAAAACAGTGTGTGAACAACAAAAACTGCCCTTTCTTTGAGTCTGTGAATAAAGTACAGAACACAATACAGACTTAAGAGAATGTTTTCTTTCCCCACAGGAACACAGTGCAGAGAGAATTTGATATAGTGCAGCAAGCTTGTCGTAAAGATTTCTATGATGGCTATAAAGAAAATCTAAGAAAGGCCTTGTTCCACTCCCTCTCTCTTTCACTCACTGATTGGTTTAAAGTAACCAAAGTCATCACCTTAAAAACTCAATACTGCAGTGTTGACAAAGTAGGTGAGCGGAGCACAACAAAGACTTGGTTACTGTATTATTTATTTCGGCTCGTGCTTTTGTTGAGTGGAGAATCTTGAAGTTTCCCCTGTCTCAAGGAAAACCAAGCACTGCTGAATAAGCAAATGTTATGCAGTGGGTAGGTATTTCAAAGTCCTTCCTTTTCCTCTGTAATGTATCGGCATAGGAGGTGTTTGTTATGGAAAACAAAACCAACTGCATGCAGATCATGCGCTAGGGCTTCAAAGCGCAAGGTCAAAAATCTATGGGGAAATTAGTGCCTTATCTTTAAACTTACTTATCGAGATTCCTTATTCTGCTGCTACTTAACCCAAATACTTTCTGCATCCAGCGAGTACATAAACATGCAAATCCGATTGACTTTGTTTCTCATCTTGGTCTTTCTTGCTCTCCAGTGAAATCACTTCTAAAAACCAGTGAGCAGGCAGGCATCCTTTCGGCCTGGCTGCAGTCCGAGTTATATTCTCACGCTGCACACATACACACGCGCACATACACACACAGACATGCACATATGCAAATATTCCTGCAGACAAGTTGACCTAAAAGAACCCTACTGGTATGAACAAAAAAAATACACCCACGCAACACTTACACACACTAACAGTAAGACATTAACACAAGCAAACAAGAAACTCGCTCGTAATAATAGTAACCCACCCTCAATCCACAAAACCCACATACACAAGCACACAGAAGCAAAGGGAATAAAACAAAAGTTCTCACCCAGTGTTTGATGGAACTCACTCGACATCGGGTTCATGGGGTTGTGTTGGAGGCTGTTGATGTTGAGCGCCCCCATCTGGTGGATCTGTGTGGCGGGGAAGGCCATGCTGGGCGTGAGGTAACCTCCGTGGCTTGCTGCCATGATGGCTGCCTGCTGCTGCATGAGCTAAAGAAGAGGGACACGGAGAGGTGGGCGGAGGGAGGGAAGGAGGTGTGGAGTGGGTGTTTGGGAGAGAGCAGGGGGGAGAATGGGGTTCCGAGAGAGGTGAGGGGAGGACAGACGGAAAAATATAGTACGTTGGGAAGGAGTTGGACAAAGATGGGAGAAGGGAAGCATGAGAGGAGAGAGAATGCGTAGAACAGAGGGAGGGATGTATGTTGAGGTTGATGGATGGATAGTGCATGGGAAGTACAGAGAAAGTAGAGCGGAATAAAAGAAGGGGAAGAAAAAAGAAGCCTGTCAACCTATGTTTAGTGAATCTGTCTATTCTCCCAGCAGGAAGCCTGTCGCCAGCTGCAAAAACGATTTAATAGCTGTCGGTTATGGCTCATACAAATCAAGACATTGACATGTGGACATTATACTTGCTCAGGGAACAGGCAGAGTTTGCAGAAGAGTTGCACTTCTTATTCATTTCATTTTCAAACTTCCCTTCACTTCACTTTGGCTGAATAGGTTTGCCGCAGATGCTTGATGTTCTATCATTTTCCCGGCCTCATCTCTGATGTTTCTGATGTATTTGTAATGATTGCTGCATGCAGCCTGACATTCACCCAGACTTTCAAATTAGCTTTGTTTCATATTTATGTCAGAAACCACAAGGCCTTTCTCTGGGCTACTTTCCCAAAATGTTAGGGCATTTTTCAAAAATAATGCATTTAGAGTTTGAAATTCATTAAAAGGTGCAGTTTTGGTTGAATAGGTTTTTTTTAGAGACATACATTTGCCAAAACAACATCATGTACTTGTCACTGAATCCAGACCCTGATTTATTAAAAGAATATTTGTTGATTGTTTGTAGCAAGAAACTTAAATTCCACACCATGTTAGTAGCGCAGTATGTTAGTCAGAACATTTAAATGGTGGTCGATTTTCAACCATTGGACAATCCCACGAAGAGATAAATCAATAGCCTTTCATTCACTCTGCATACTACTTAGCATGAAGTGAGAAGTTAGAGCCGAAAATGTTTTCCATCAAATGCAGCCCGCAGTGTGTTTATTCATGCTCACATGCACCGCTGCCCTGCACTGCACTCACACACAAACACAAACAAAAAATGACATGAAGAACGACTGAGTTTTCTACTTGAGTTTCCGCACTCAGCTTAAATTCTCACTTTGCAAACCATAAACTGAATGCCTAAGAAGAAAACCCATCATTGTACAATGGCTTTTGCAGCTTGCGAACCAGTGGGTCTATCTAGCAAATCAACAATCTTTTGCCGGCTATGTAGTGATGCAGACTTGTGTGGTGTTGGAATACAAACACAGCTGGACCGACCTCTCAGCATCTGGTTAATGCTGCTTAGCGGCTGCGTGTCAGGGGAGCTGCTGATGGCCGTGGCCTGAGAATGACTCGTATAAGCAGAAATCAAACTCTTCTGCCACTGGCGCTAATGCTAATGACGATATTGTGAGACACTGTGGGTAGAGAATGCCACTCGGCTTGTATTTGCATGGGGACCCGGCAACGGAAAAGCCAATTATTTCCCCTCAGTGCCCCTGTCAGGTAGCCTGAAAGCGGCTGTCCTGCTGCAGAATGCCCATCGCTGGCATCTCATCCATTAGCCACATGCCTTGCCTCTGCTATCTATTAACGCCTCTTGTCATTTGCATAATTTCATTGTGACAAATGGGAATCATCCATTCCTTTCCAAATAAGATGAATTGAGCCTTTAAGGGGCCGTAGCTGCAACAGACAGCAAAGGAACAAGAAACTAAACAAAAGCAATGACACGGAAACAAACAAAGAGGTCTAGAGGGTCTGTGGCTGCCTTGCTTTGGCGATGCTGTGACTGCCCCCCCATTAGGATGTGAACAGGGTGAGACTTCAGGATGAACAGGCCAACTGGGCTGGTATTACAGAATAAATAAAGTGTCTCAACACTCGCTGTTTTTTGGTCTTTTTATCTGGCTCTGCTCGCTGATACTCAGGACTTAGAGGTAATTCTAATAGGCTTGCAGTCTATTTGTTGTGGGCCTGGTGGCCTTATAAAAGCTACAAGCCTGTATGGAGCAAACATGGAGTGGGAGTAAAGACCAGCCTCTCTCCCAATGCATATTTTAGATGATGCAATGCTTAATGCCTTCCGTCAGATTGTCATGGATAACAACTCTGGAATTCGTTGACGCTTCGTTCCAAATTCAAATGCAGCAAATTGGAAACCAAAGCATATCATTATGTTGGAACGCAGTGGTTAATACAAACTGGCTCTGATAAAAAGAAAATAAATAGCAGTAAGCAGAGTGGTTATGTTGACAGAGATATTCAAAGTCGTTCCATTTTACTTTTCATATGTATATGCTTTTTTCCCCCTTCTTCTTCTTCATCATTTCAAAAGGCATTATATTCAAAAGCAATTCCCGTTTCTTTATTTATGCACCAGCCAGCAGATAGCAAATGTCTCCGGTGGAGAATGAGCCGAACTGAGTCTTCATCGTCACAGACACAACCTTTTCTGCTTCCTCTTGAAAAGAAAGGAAGAGAGAAGAAAAGGCAGAGAGAAACAAGGGGGACAAAAGAGACGCGCGTGAGATGAAAGGGAGCAAAGAGAAAGTTGCCCGGGTTCCCGCAGCATTCATTTAGTGTCAGACATCTGCTTTTTTATTGCAACCTGATGGCATTACTCTCCCCTGGTGCCAGCAGGCAATCACCTCTTTATCACATGGCAATTATCTCTGTAGCGCTGCTCTGTGACTCGTTGACTCTCCGCACTGTCACATGTGACCCCTTATAGAACAACCAGCCGGGGACAGAGGCAGAAAGGATAGAGAGAGACAAAGAGAAGGAAAGAGTGAGAGGGTGAAAAAGGTTGAACCAATAAGAGAGAGAGTAGGTCAATGAGGTGAAGAACAAGACTGAAGACAGAAGACTGAAGCTCAAGGGCCTCATTTGTTACCCCCCATGCTGGCAGGCCGTATTTCCACGGAAAGATTTGAATAGTTTATTTCATCTGAGGCACTTTGTTGTGTGTGCAGAGCGAGTCCTCACAAGTATAGTACAGCTAAACCAGGTCATAGACGTGTGTGTTTGCGTGCAGGCAGTTTTCAGCACAGCTAAATGATGCAGTAATCTGTTCCCATCATTCCTCATGTGTGCTGTGAAGCCGTTTGAACGCGAGTCCCTCCAACAGGGGGAGATGTTTCCTAATGTGAGTTTACAGCCATCATCCTCCCTCTCATCCTCCCACACATTGTCACTATTAGTGCCAAGTTAAACCATTTTTCTCGCCTCTCATTTATCCATCTTACACTCAGTCCAATGTATGTTTTTAGGCAGGCAACAGGAGCACAGTGCGGAGGGCCTTTACATCTTCTCCTTCCCTGCGACACAGCATGTATTCCTCCACCTGAAGAGACCAAGCTAAAATGGCTGTCTTCCCAGAGAGACACGGCTTTAAAGACGAGGGAAGAAAAGTGACTTGAATCAAATCTAATCATGTACAAATATGATGTTTGTGTCTTGACGGGGGAATACAAAAAGGTAATAAAAGCTGGTTTTATTACTCACATTCAGCGAATTCACGGGAGAACTATTACCATTCACTACTAACACTGGAATGAAACAAGGAATCCCACTCGCTCGCTCTCCCTCCGCTTGCGTTTTATGAAATCACCTTTTTGCAAATAGGATGTCTCCTGTCAGAGCACACCAGTGTCTATCGTAAAAATGGCACATTTCTTATTTCTGGCATATGTTGTGAGTGTTGTACCCCTCCAATTTGTGTTCGGAGCCCCCTCCTTCTCCTGGTTTGACTAAAATCCAATTTACTGGCTGTCAGCTCAACTCTTTAATCCTATCCACTGCTGTAGTGGAGAGGTAGCTCTTTGAATTTACCATTTACTGTACTCCCTGGTTATAGCTATATATACCATCTCTCCCCAAGTCTGTATTCTATACTGTGCCACCTCCTCTTCTCTTGGCCAGCGTATATGGAGAGTGGGCGAACATGTAGTGTGTCTTTGGAGATAAAGTCCTTTTTGTGTCACTGCAGGTTTTTCTTCTTGGGGGAATATGTGTAGTTTATCTTGCAGTAAAGAAACATTCGCTGTATCACTTCAGCACATTCCCGGTGGCTGCAGGGGAATCGAGGCTGCTCACCATACACATGCAGCCATGACTGTAATTGAATCATAACTGCTGCACAAGCAGGACCCCCACACTAAAGATAACTCAGATTTCCCTTTATTCCACATTATGCACATGTTGCAGTTGGAACCAGTATTTATACTCATTAAATACGTCTTTAGCTAGATATGAAAACAAGGGCCTCGCTGATAATCCATTACTGCCTCTGGAGCACTCATTACTTTATCAAAACTTTATCTCCAAGGTTGCTTTCCCTCAGAGTTTCTTAACCGGCTTGCCTTATTCGCTAAATTCATTATATGCAGGTACATGGCACCCACAGTCTCTGTAATTCGTAATACTAATACAAGGAGAATCTCACCTTCACTAACATCATTCATGCTGTATAATCTTTGTGTCGAGCAACCACATACCTGCAATTTCTCTTTTAGATTTAATAGTAATTGATTCTCTCTAATGCTGAAGTATCCCCAGTGCCCTTGTTACTTTCACTCGGAACTCAATTTCCTAGCGTCATCCTGCTCTTTGTCATATTGTATTTGTGTATGAGACGGAGAGAGAGAGGGGGGGGGGGGGGGGAAAGAAAGAACATTTGCTGCGCAGTGCGTCTGAGTGTGTACACGCTTGTATGAGTGGACACGGGTCTCTGCCACAGTAAATAAGAGTCATGGCCAACCTGAGCGGGGCACAATGGTCTCCTCGCAGACCGCCACTGCCTCCACCACCCCTTAAACATTTGCATTTCTCCACATGGGGAAAGGGCTGCATTTCATGAATGGTAATGAAGGAGTTTTACTGGGACGAGCACAAGAGATGGCCTCGCAATTACTCTGGGATGGTCAATTTACACATTTCACACTGGGTCTCATGGCTGTGATGTGAAAATGAGGGAAACGGATAAGCCCCCAAGACCTGGCTATTTGAAACAATGTATCCTAGCATTTGGAAACAGCGAGAAACATATATAACTTTGACATCCAAATGAGTACAGGGGAAATGATTTGGTCTTACTCCTTCTCTGTGAGTAAACACATTTCTGATGATTATGTGTATTTATGCAGTGTGAGGCCCAGGTTTTTTATCTAAGTGCTGGATGGAAAGCTTCTCCTAAATTCATTTTAGCCTGCTTCAAGTACAGTGTGCATGCACGTGCATAAGGCAGTACGTGTGAGTGCTCTGCCTCAGCGGGGAAGAAGAAAGTTTGTGTGCAGATAAGTTGCCAATGGAAAATTCTGAGTCAACTGTGGCCCCTGAAGCATCTCAAGGGCCCAGAGGGAGGGACAGGGGGAGGGAGAGGGGGAGGGGAGAGAAGCAGTGTGATAGAAGGTGGAGGGGGCGCATGGTGAGAGCGGCTGCATAGGCTGTCTGAACTCATCAAAGAGCTGGGGGTCTGCTGTGTGAATATGGTGCCATGCCCTGAGGGGGGGGGGGGTACAGTTGGCGGTGGTAGGAGGGCAGAGGGAAGCTGATGAAGGGGTTGGAGGGTACCAGCTAACTAAATGTGTGTGACTACGTGCAGAGGGTAGTGATAGACTGAATGTAAAAGCATAGCAGAACTGCTTATGAAAAGGAGGGGACCAAGAAGTGCTGCTGAATGAAGTGATGATAGTTTGGCAAGCTCATTTCAATTACAGAAATGAATACCAAGTAGGGTGCAAAACGTGTCTTTGTGTTCTATTTACTAGAAAAGTTACACATTTCACCGACTGATATCCTGTTTTAAAATGCTTTGCTGATTAATTGGACCACATAACAGTCAAGCTAAAGGTCAAAGGGGTTCAAATGTGTGTCCCATGTGTGATGTGTTCTAAGTTGTTTACGGTCCCACCTCAGCAATACACTGTCCATCCAAAGGGGAATACAGGTCAAATTGAAATGATATGTGTCAGCAGAAATAGAGAACCGCAGTGACGCGTCCTAAAACCCGGAAGTAAGTTAGCATGTTTACCACTTCCGGTTCCTTCAACAAAAAGCAATGCAATTTCTCCATAGGATTTTGGAAAATAGCTCGAAATAAGGTCTGTGTTTGACACAAATTGAAGAGACAGATCACGTTTTGTTCTACCACATTAAATACATCAGCAGTGACCCCATTGGTGATTCTTGAAGAGTTTACGTGTCTGAAAAAACGACGGTTGTTAACATGTGGCTGAATAGGACTACAGAAGTTGTCGAGGCCGTTTTACGTCATTACACCGAACACGTAAAACACTAGGGTTGCCAGAAACTGACCATGATCAAAATCGATTATTCGGCAGCCCTGGCGCCCAGCCAGCCAAGCTTACTTTGGG